TAAGAAAAAAAGGGACGTGAATGTGCGAACTGAGCAGGGATGATTCAATGGGTGCAAGGTGATAATCCCCTTTAGCTTCTAGCACCTCCATTACTTTGAGTTTGTATTTGATTGATTTTTTTCTGTTTAGAATGGTAATTTTCTGATAAGCTTTACAAAAAAAAAATTGTACAAAAATAGGGGGGACGTACGCCCCTCTAAATTCGCCACTGTACTGTTAGGTCTTAAAAAGTGTAATCGTGAAAACATTACCGGGTATTTTACCAGGAGGTTTCTGTTTTCGAGACAACCTTACTTTACCTTCGATTCGACCTGACACATTTTCCCAAAGCCAGAAACGTTTTTCACTTGCGTCGGCTCTGACATGGTAGTGACAGTTGCTACTAGTAGCGTAACGATTGGGCTAGGGGCCCTGTGGCTTCCTGAGACTGGGGCCCTTTTTGGGCAGTCACCAATTATGTGGCCATAGGCCTATGCTCGTTTTTTAATCATGTTTGTCATCGTATTCTAAAAGGTTTTTAATGGGACCTTTTGGGCAGTCACCTATTCCGTTGGGGGATTTTAGATGTGCTCGTATTTTATGATATCGGCGGTTGATCCAATAATTTGATAGGGGAAAGAAGGAGGGATAAAGGTGGGACCTTCACAAATGGAGGGCCTATACCACCCCACTATTGCGGCTGAGGTAAGAAAATGGATGATTATGGCACCTCAAAATTTCTCCATTTTAAAAACAAATGTTGACACATTTTGTGGGGGGGGGGGGCCGGGCCAACAGAGCCCCTTTTGACAATGGATAAAGACCTAATAATATGATATATATCCTACAGTCGATGTCAGAGACACATTATGTTGTTATGTATCAACAAAGCCCTTTTGGATATCCGACAAACCACATTGCTACCTGATAGTGGCCCTTATATGAGATACATAACATATTAATTGACTTATAAACCAATTATTGTAAATTTATTTTTGATTTGAAAATAATGTTCATACAGAACTTTTTTCAGGAATGTCTCCATCGAGTTTTATTTTCGAGATATGCCTTCAAAACTTTACAAAAAAAATTACTCTTAATAGAGTCATATAATACAGCTACATGGAACATACTGTACGTCTACCCTACTTAGTATCGTACGATCGATTCGCATTGCAGTCGCTCTCCATCAATGTGGACAAGGGTTTTAAACAGTCACAATTATGTGAATGTATTACCTGCATCCTTTCGTCAACGGGCACGTACACATAGGCTACGTAGACCAACTACAAGTATTGCGGAATGGATGGCGCATGATGTATTTTCAACGGCCATACAATAGAGACGCAGATTTGATTTGATATATTCAATTTCGGCAATAAAATAACATTGCAATACACAAAGACAAGAAATCAACATTAAAAATATACAAATGCCAAGGATTGACAGAACGAACTGAATCAGTGTGGAAGACTCCTTCGAGTCTAACAGAAATATATAGGCTTAAGCTATACTTTATGCAATAAATTAACTAATAAATAAATTAAATAAGAGTAGATTGAAGATTAGGCGTGAAAATAATGTAATAATGCAGATTAATGAATGAAGCCTCTGGAGTGTGGTGTGGGTACATGGGCTCCCCTTTAAATGACATTCACATGTTTGTTAATTCAAATTCTTAAATTGATTGTGGAATTCTAATGTTTAATTTCCCACATCGATTTTTTTTTAATGGACAATAAAAAAGAAATATTTGAGGTAAATTCCTGATGATTCCTGATTATGACATAATTAATGTCGAAATATTGAATCCCGACACGATGGCGTGCATTTCGATACTTGGAGTATGTATTATACTATCTTATTTGATGTAAAAGTATAATAAAAACGTCAATTGATAGCATAACATTTTTTACCAAATGAGATTAAAAGAAAAACTATACTGAAAAGCAATATTGCAGTAGGAAGTGAGGCGGATCTCAGCTGAAATACGAAATTGATAAACATAAGAGAAGCAGCCAGTGAAAAAGCAGGTTTTAGTTCGGAAAACATTAGTCCTTCGTCAATGAATATATTAATAGGCCTATAATAGGGCTGTATATAACACCAAGATAATTTCTTTATTA